TGGAATAAGGGACCGGAAGTTTTGATCTGTAGCTTCCAAACCCCTATCCACCATGCTCGATGCAGCAGATAGGACACCGTTGATTATCCTCTGCGGTGGCCAGAGCATCCGAAATTTGTTTGAAGAGGGATTAATTGTATTGCGTGGGCAGGATACTGTCAGCTTGCCCAGGCCTAGACAGGTGAACGGTCAAGTTTCTCAACCAAAGCCTTTGGTTTAAAAACCTTACAGCAAGTCAGCAGGTTTGCGTTGAACCACAAGATGTCCGTTTTAAGGGATAATGTGCTACCCTCATTCCAACCCCCAATCAGGAGGACCAGGAGGCTGAGTTTCTCTGGCCTCTATCCATTGTCCAATCTGGCATGAGTGAGTCTGAAGGTGCAAAAGCACCACCCAGCATAGCTTAATGGATCACTAAGGCATACAAACCATGGCAACACGGTAAGGTCCAGCCTCATTGCGATGGAAAAGAAACATGAGTCATAAATGTTCTCACGCGTCGGTTTTTGGATTGACTCCTCTTAATTTATTAGGGATTGTGGTTCGCTGCAACGTCCTTTGACTACAATTAGAATTACTGTTGTATCAAGCACAAATGTTTCTGATGCTAATGATATTTGTGATTGTAAAATACATGCATCGGCTAGTATGTCTCACTTACCAAAATGTGTTAAATAGTCTCTATGTTTAAACGGAAGAAAATAAGGCAAACTACTGCGGCGCGTGCTTTCCTAAACATTACAACAAACCGAAAGATTTAACGCTTATTATGATTGCAACACTTATTTCTTGCTTACAATAGGGTTTGTAAGTCTGACGATTTAATTCAACTAAAGCATACTAGTCTTGCACGTCATCGTTCAGAAAACCTGCATACTCTAATCCTATTTGCACTAATTCTTCATTGTCTTGTCCGTTTTTGTCGCAAATTTAACCGAATTTGACGACTGATCTGTCCAACAATACCTGTTCTCAATCTTATGCCCATAAATGGATTGACTATTACAAGTACAAAGGTTGCTTCCGTGGGATTACTCATTCATTTGTATAACTACTTGCTACTCTCAGAACATACTCTAATCGGTTGTTTAAAGGATAGTTACCTTGAAAAGTAAGTTTGATCTAAATCTGCCAGTAGTTTTATTGTGCATTCCAACAGTTTTTATCTTCTGACCTTGACATCTGTGAAACGAAATCACAAGCTCCACATTAGGAGCTAACATTCCGATTTAGAACGCTTGTTCATTGTCGTTACACACCCAATGCTGGGATTGCCAACAGTACAATTAAGGCAACTTTATCATACATGCCCGTACAACACAAATTCCCATTTGGTGAGTATTAATTTCTATAATACACAGCTATTTCTCAGGGGATCTTGTGAAGCTCCTTCTTTTCGACTTCGCCCCTCTAAAAATCCGAAGTGAATCATGCTTTTCCGTCCAGTGGACTTGAGCGGAGTCTGTGCGTTTGGTGGTTTCGGTTGAATAGTGAAGAATGAAGCATAGTTATAAGAGTGATGATCAGTAAAGATGCAGGCGATTCTGAAGCCGACAACATCATAGTCAGTGTTTCTTGATGGCACTTGGTAAAACGAAATATATCAAATGTTTCATCTTCACATGTTTGCGATTATACCGTCGGTAGGCAACTTGCGTTGGTATATTTTATAAGGCATGTAAACTATAAAACAATTTATCTGCGCAAATGTTCATTCCACACTTAGGATCTTATGTCACCTGTTAGGAATTTTACAAATGTATCTATCTATTTAATTATGGGTAGTCAAAGCAATGCTGGTGGTCGATTTGCCTTTATGGCTGAAAGTTCTGATGATGCTATCAGAATACTGAGGAACTGTAGCAATCATTATATTGAAAAAGGTTTGACTATATGGTAAATTAAATTGTTGCTGTAGTCCTCTAATGCAACTGTAAATTTGTCGAAGAAAGATGCACACTGTTAGCTAGTCCAAATATGCACGACCACATTCTCTAAATTAAAATGATTACAATTTGCAAGATCGAGCGTTAAATGCAATAGATAAGGAAAATCGTGCAATGTATTACCGGTCAGAAAGTTTTCTCAACAGGCTGTTTTACAGTACATGAATTGTGTGTCACACTTTTCTTGAAGACTGCGGGATGGTATTAAGCAACTCGAGAAGATAAGTACACCTCGTCATGGAACGGGTACAATAAATATTCACAAAGGACTTCATGAAAGTCTCTCAAAATAATCTTAAGCTAAGAGATGCGAGCTATTTATGTTATGATTACTATGACAGTAAAGCAAAACAGAAATTTCAACGCTATTTTTTAACTTTATAAGGGAATGTAAAATTTCTAGAATAACCGTGTCACTTAAAATCATACACGCTGTGTATTACACGCAATCAGCTAACTTTTGTAGCTGAGAATAGGTCAAATCCAAATACAGCAGCTAACTACCTCCTAAGACGATATACCAGAATGTAGAACAAACTACCAACGGACATCCATGACAGTATATCGGAGTAAGACTGTTGTAAACTGATTAAAACAAACTTGTATTTTGGCAAAGTAACCCTAACTCCTGCCTGCTCCATAAACATTTATCAGGCATGTGAGCAATTTCAAGACATTACGTGACCAAAGAAGCAGCCGTCCTTGTAATTCCTATCGAAAATCTAAGTGTTCTCCTGCAACCTACCTTTGCGTTGTATTACGTGATCCAGTTACACATGGTTTGTAGACTAAGGACTGGCTAGTAGATTCACTGGTAAATGGGTGGGATGGACAATTAGGCTTCATTTCCTCCTCCTTGACCTACCTTGACTACCAGTACATCACCATGCTTTTAGCTACCTAGAGTATGTTACGAACATAAGCCCGTCGATAGACAGACGGACAGTATAACTTTGCAATAAAAACTTTGTCCAACGACCCAAGCCCTCATATTAACCGACCACCAAGATATCAGCAAAAAAGGAAACGGAAGTGTTCCTGCACAATATTGACCTCATCACTACCTGCCCTCACTTGAGTGTGTTCAAGCGAAAGGTGGTTCCTTGTGGGAACCCTACTTAATTGGCGATTTTGATTTGATGCACAAAAGAGCGCTAACGCGGCGTCACATGATCCCGTCCATCGCTAGGCGGTGGTGCTAAGGGGTGATAGTGGCATAAGTGTGTAGTGAATTCCTGGATGGATTTTGCATTTGACATTTTTCGATTTGCATATAAACGTCCTAGAAGCCGACCCTTCTACAGAAGTAAAAACTTGTCCAACTATTATCGGATTATGTTCGGTAATTTACGGCATACCTATAGCATAAACTTGTATAACGATAGACAATTTCGTTAACCGGAGCCACACATACAATTAACAGCATTTTATCTCCTGGCTTTAACGCCGATGTTGGCAGAAGGCAAATCTGAAGATGGATGTATTTGTCTTCTGCAAGAACCTGGTATCAAATCCCCCCTCGAGCATTGATTATGTCACCTTGACTGATGACACTGTACTGTGCACATGCAAAGTCATGTGTGCCGCTTTTTACGGCAACGCAGCAGGAACACAAAGTTGAGATTTCATCCCCAGAAACTAGCAGTACAGTGTTACCGTTTGTAGTGTGGTAAAAATTTCTGTTTAATACCCTTGTGTTAATGAGGGATGCTTTCCTTGAATCAATCGCTTCCGCTTCTAAACCGGTTGGACGCAATCATCTACTTACACTTGGTAACCTAGGTCTATCCGCCATACCGCCGGGAAATAACCAGAGGTTATAATTTGTTGAAGGTTAGATATTCGAAAATACACGGAGTGCATGGCTACTGCATCAAGAAGGATAATCTCTTAATTCTGACAGTAAAAGTACTGCTTACATTGTTTTCATTATCGATTTGTGACAGCACAAAAGACTAGCTTACAGAGATCGTTAAGCAGCGCTTGTTCACCCGCATAAATGCATTGCACATTGTTACATCCGATTGCCCATGTCGCTTAGCTACTCAACCGATTAACAACAAACCCCAACTACCTGTATTCCAAATTATCTCGGGCGGTAATCTCCCGCATCAGGCATTTCTCTCAACATGTTGGAAGATTGTGAGTAGGGTAAAGTTTGTAGAAAGTAGACGTCACGATTAAAATTCACGCACAATATTATTTTGCGTGAATTTTAATCGTGACTTCTACTTTCTACAAACTTTCTCTCAACAGTTTCTCATCAAGGGTCATCGGACTAAAAGCGTCATTCCCTTCGTTTGTCTATTTCTCAATGAGTTCGGATGCAGGCTTTCATTATTGCATGATTGTTTTAAACTCTAATAAGCCAACTACAACTTCCGTCAAAGTTTACCGTCTGGCAGGAGCCTGTGGCTTCTTCAAACGCGCCATCTACTATTCCATCTGCGTGACGCGTGCGAAACCACATTTTACTCCTACTGAATCTTCAGACAAGCTTATTTTCAGTAATATTATTTGGGTCACCGAGCTACGAAAATTTTTCCTGCGACTCTAATGAAGAAAGGACCGCCACTTGCCTTTTGTTGCTTCACTTTAATGGATGTTAAATTAGCACTTTTATCTATCGGCTGCTCCCTGTCGCTTGCGGACATGTCGCTGACAAGTGAACTTCATAACAGAGATCAATTGAACAATACTTCATTTAAGAACACTTTTCGACTTCAATTGATATATTGTTCTGGTTGCATAATAATTTATAACGTTGCATACACAGACATTAATTGAATTGGAATGATGCTGTGTCGTATTCAGGTGGGCGAAATAGAACGTTCCATTTATAAACACATGTACACGTGATAACGAGCATGTGATTCGTAAATATCCTTTAACAACACAGTTGATCATTGAACACTGGCTCAGGAGAGATGTTCTCATCACGACTGACCTGCTGGTTGATGAAGGTTTGGTGACGCTTCCCTTGTAGTCGTTATGTTGTATTCATCAGTGTTATGAAGAACTTATTCCGCAGTTAAGGAGATTGCTAATCGCAGATTAGATCTACCAAAGCAAAATGAAATGGATTTTCGTCCGTAGGTAGAAGAAAAGATTGACAAAGTATAAAGTTTGACAATGTTAAGTCATGATTTGGCTTTTAAAGAAGTGCAGGAAATAATAGTTATTACTACACTGCGATGCATAATATCTACACTACAGCGGCTGCAATCAATAGGCCAATTTTGTCGTACAAATGTATAACAAGAATGACGGATCGAGTAGAGGAAATCGACTTTGGACTAATATTAAATAGAGATAGTTCTGTTGCTAATAATGAAACATTGGAACAGGCAGCTTTATGAAAAGAGAGGCACATGGGTGGTTACATGTCAGAAGAAAACACACTGGCTCCAATAGTTGAATGAAAGTTAGGTCTACATTATGAACCATCAGGTCTGAGCCTTTATAAAAAGGTTTCAAGATTGTTTTGAGAAACTCAACATAACTTTCTAGAGCAAGCATTAAATACTTAATATTCGCATATTGTTTATGTTCAGAGTGATAATATGAATGCGTTTGTTATATCGATTTCCCGATCTCTTGCAAATGGATGTTTTGGAGCATTGGTGTTGCAAATAACCAAGACATATCAATCCTTTATGCTTCCACACTCTCATAGCGCAAGTAAGCTTTGCAAGTTAACATTTAAAATGAGAGTAATGAATGAAAGAAACGGATAAGTGTTTGCGATATAAGGAATTTGATTTGGCAGCCTGTTTGAGAATTTTGTAAAAGAAACATGCTGGAAGCGAAAAGCAGAATACAAGATTACATGGACATAAATATGTCTTGTTTTTTATTTCTGTCTCTGGGTTAAAGACAAACGCAACGAACTAGTTCCAATGAACTGAAAAGAAAGGCCACAATTACAAGCAGAATTATTGAAAAGCAAATATTCAACCGAAATATCCGGAAAACGAAAAGGTGTCAATTTAAAGATAAGTGACCTGAAAAGTTGATAAGTTAATTGTTTTCGTGTAGTATATTATCCATTGAGAAGCGGAAACACAGTTTGAGTAGCCCTGTATTGCATGACTGTAAAATATGGGGAATGACTTTTAGGTCAAGCGAAATTGGGTGTAGCCTTATTCGTTTCACTTTTGCTTGCGAAACTTTTACCTATTAACAACCGTTTTGGGTTGTTCCACGCCAACGATTCAAGAAAATGAGCAACGTCCATGCAATATCTAACAAACTCTCTAAATGTTCTTGCAGCTGAAAATAACTTTTTCAATTCGGCCTTAGGTTTTGTTGCGATCTGCAATTTCACTTGGCCCGACGGCTCACAGTAGGCTACTTCAACACGTTGAACACCGTGGTTTTATTCTTTCCACTTCAGTCCCTGTTATCCTTTAATAATTCACTTTGATTCCGCTCAGCTCCACTGTTAGCAAGTGTTAGGGGAACCACTGAAAAATTGTTTGGCTGGATACCCAAATCTAGTTAACCTAATTATCACTCAGAACTGCAATTCCATTTTGATTGCTTGCACACCATACACCTGTGGAACCACTGACGCGTTGGTAGATTGGTCATTTAGATCCACAGGTTACAAATTCAACCCTCAATTCTCGTCGTTACGGTCCGCGAGGGATTGTGACTCAAATTCAGTATAATATAGACCTCCGTCGACATTTCCTGGACCAAGTACTTCCCTAACCCGATTTCTAAGCAGCTCTGTCCTGTCAATTTATTGTTCTGTATACTTTTTACAAACACAAAACCGTGTCTTTACTGATGCTTTCAACATGGATTTACAAAGTATTTGTGGAAATACATCCGCTGCTCAGTCTTTCTAGTATGTACCATTGGTTTCTATGTAATAGACCGATTCTGCTGAACCTTTTGTAAAGATATACCAGATATACTGTTGAATAACCAGTGTACACTAGTATTCCGTATGTGATCTGCGTATAGTGATCAACCAGGTTCACTGGGCCGTGTTGCGCTTTTAAGGGGAAAAACACCAATCTTTTGATCTATAAAATGAAACGACCAGATGTTTATTGATCCACTACACCACATCATCTGCAGTACAAACCTAGGACACTGTAGTTAATTCTTAGAAACAGAAATGCGTTTATCCTGCGTCACTGTCGTAAACGATGTCATCTGGGTTGAAAGCATTAGATCAATTGACATAAAGGCATAATGGTTGATGCTTGCCAAAGAGTAAGTTTTCGTAGATAATAACACCCCAAACCAAAGTTACTGCTCGAAATATATTTACTCTAATGACGGTCCCCAAAATATCTTAAGCATATCATTTCAGACTTAACGCGTTTAGGCAATTACCAAATAAATATAAATTACATACTTTCGTGCAATCTTCTCTACTCCTGTTGGCTCGTTTGCTTCGACCTATCCGAGATCTGTATGCATTGGGAAAACAGAGCAATGATGGAAGCAACAGCGCCAGGGTACAGGAAAGATAACAGCGTTAACAACCCGGGAACTAGCGAGGAATTGTGTTGTGGGGACCAAGCTAGTACCATAGACTACCGAAGGACAATTACTAATGAATGACATTAAGATTTTCAAGAACAGTTTAATTTTTGGTATGTAACATCTCTGTTCTAGGGATAGGTTCTTAGTGATCAAGATAAGCAACGCTCAGTTGATTTCAAACTGCATGGAAAAATAAGACCGCTTATCACATTCCATACACTAGCTGGTAATCTACAACAAATATGCATAAACTGTCCCTTGTTGTATCTAAATGGCGGGCTGACAAATAAAATTGTGGAAGCATTCCCATTTAGGATAGAAATCTCCTTTGATTATGTCAAGAACCGTTGTGCGTACATGAACTATGTTCTTAGGTAAATCTTTGTAGAAACTGGCTTACCGAATTTCACCGGCCATTAGAGGGTTCAGTGCATAAAGCCAGTCATGTACGTCCGAACCATCTTCTGCGGTGGTCTGTATCAGGTAAGTTCGATATTGTGTGATTAATGTAAACATATTGATTCTGGAGGGTACGTTTTCCATTGGGTCCAAAATATGCAAGGTGACAAGGTCAGATTTGTTTGGTGGATCTCTTTTCCCACAGTTTGTGACAATTCCGCCATCTGATTCTAAGGTAAGATTGATGCTATATAAAAGAAAATCAAAAAGGGATGGTTTTATTTGATATACTGTAGAAAATGGAGTAACCTGGTATTTGACGTCAATGCAAGTCTCACAATGGTTAATAATGTTCAAGCAGAAGCGATTAGCTCGCTTTTATAAGCAGACCAAAATGGTGTATTTCAGGTTCAACATGGTTTCCGTACTCTATATAAATAGAACAAGTAAATTTTCGGATAAAAGCGACGGTGCACCTTAATTCTCGTCGGAGTGGTCGGTTATTAGGCATTTGGTCAATGAACCGATAATCAAGCGATTACCAATGTCCTGCACCGAAGCCAGGTGTAGAGATGAGCTGCCTACTTGGTCGACGCGAATTCATTAAGGGACGAAGCTTAAATCACAATAAATTAAAGGCTGTACTGTGTTTGTATGCGAACCTACATTTTCTCCCCCAATTGCCTCGACTACTAATCATGGCGGTTAGAGTGTGTGGAAACTTAGTTATTCGCTGATATTATGGAACTTACTCATACTCTAGTTGAGCAGTGGTTAGATTGATTAGACCACGTTCAACTGGACTTTGACTGCTGGAGTAGAGAAACAGAAACGGTCGGCGGACGACGACCCAGTAACGCATCCACCCGCCCGAATTCTCTTCCAGTAAAAGCAGATAGCCTTTGCGGCTGACCACCGGACTCACACGAACCTGCACAGAACAGTCAAAAAAATAACAACAATGCTTCTAGTAAATGTGGTTGTGCAGCGTTTGGTCCAAAATCATTATTTATTCGCTTTCAAGATAGAAACCTTTCATGACGAAATGGAAAATAGCGACTTTAAATCAATCCACCTTTTCCTTACATTGAATGAATTAAAGTACAAAATCAATTTAACATATTTTGACCACTGTTGCGACTCGGTAACCCAAAGATTGCTACTATGTGAACAAGGTAAATGTCGCAAATGGGTTTTCCAAATGGGCTTCCATCACACCCAAGGATGTTTACACGACACTTCATATATGATGGCTTCTACCTTAGGCCTGTGATTGAGTGGTAGTTTGTTTACTCACAATGCAACTTAATCGCTTAACCTAATCCTTCAGACTGTAATAAATGGTTATATGAGTCGATACGCAATACAAATCTCATGGCGGCAGTTACCTATGCAAAATCGAAAAAAATTTGTCTTGCCGAAAACAACGTGTGACTATATGACTTCAGTGTAGATTTGTCCAGATCTCCTATCCGGCACAAATTCTGGACTTACATATGACGCTCGCATCATTGATAGCCCAACACAACCATATCGCGGTTCCCCGAATAAACTCGGACTCAGCGTTCAAAGTTATGTTAAGTCATGTTAATCCCCACTTCCTTTTGATTGTTCAGGCTATCGAAATGAGCTAGGTGGGTTCAAAAACAACTATTTGTCGGCCGGTGGCCAAGTGGTCTGTGCACCTGGTTTTCAACCATAAGGTCGCCGGTTCGAATCCGCGTAGGGTTGGGCCTCCTCGCGGCATACACAGCCCGGGCGCGACTGGTGGTGGTCGCGCGGCAGCGAAGCGCCGTTACGGTGTATAACTGGCACATTAGTATCATATTATTGTTTATCAGCCTAAGGTTTCGTGGGGAACTGTTTTCATTAACTCCACACATTAAGCTTGTCTAGTCGCATGCAATTTCAGTTAAATTTATGCATATCGGTTATTGTTGATTTTTGTTGGAGAGAAAGCAAAGGCCATACATCTAAAACTTTCCACTATTTTCCTTGTTTTCTAACTTATTGATGAGTTCTAACGGCATTAAGAGTCTCACCCCATTTGAACGAAACATGTGTGAATGTTTCTACGGCCGCTCTACTCAAAATGGATGATGATACGCAGGACACAAATGTTAAACTTTACGATATAACTATAGCTACGCATACATCACAAAGGCATTAGGGTTAACATAACCTTACAGTCACTAAAAACACTGTAATATTTTTAACATCAAGCATGTGATTTTTATCTTGTTTGCACAAATAAATTTACATCAAATTAAACAGTTATGAACCCCGAATACTTGATCGTGATTAATATTGAATAAGGAGCATGTTGAAACCTTACCAGATGTTTAGTTGCAACGCATTAGTTTTTATATTCTCTATGCACATTTATCTCGCAGGTAGTTTTCAACGAGGAAATTGACTAGATATTGGCATTATCTTTGTTAATAACTTACTTCGTCGCAGTCACCAATTATATATGGAACCACGTTATCCGTTTGATCCGCAGAAGGATGCACCCTTGGATTATCAGTTGTTGCCCCTGAGGTAGTGCATTCTGAGATGGTACAGCCTAGGACAATTTTAGGAACAGAAATACAAGAATTTGTTAACTGTGTGGTGGAAACTGTTAAATTTATGGTCAGTTTACTAAACGGATTACAAAAATTACCTTACTCAATGACTTTCATTGAAAGCTTAACACGAAGCCGATGATGCCGTAATTCAGCTAAGAAACATTGAGTGTAACTGGCCCCTTCGGGTTCAACGTCCCGCTATACATGGCCGTTGATTACGTGTGCGAATCAGCTGAACGCGCCATCTGTTCGTTACCAATTCCGACTGAGATGTTGAGATAAGCCCCACCATTGTGCACGAAGAATGCGTACTTTCATCTACGGAACATGTTCTACCGCCAAAATGACGGTGGAGCAATGGGTAGCTGATTAGGTCCTGTTCTCCACTTTCTTTATGCTGATGACATAAAGACTCATTTTCGCCGGGATAGCCTAAGCGCCTTACTATAAACGGCATGCAGATGATATTTTAGCTTTTTTCTCTTCGGAGCAGTAGCTTACACGCTTGATAGATCGCCTAAATGGTGTTACATATGATAGTTGGACATCCTCATCAGTCACAAGGGGAACTATGAGAGCCGTTTGACAAAATTCAACTTGTTCCGCTCAGTACTTCACTTCAACAACTTCACAACTTGGAAGATTTTAATTAGTCGTCCAAGACGAATTCGTGCGGCTGACTATTTGGGCGATAAGATTGTGTTAAATGCGACAACACTAATGGCAAACGGCTACCCTCAAAGATGTATCTTGAAACACAGCCGGCCGTGAGGGCTGGCGGACTGGATGCGCATGCCAGTCAAGAAGGCGTGTGTTGAGCTGCAATTCAAAAGTGAGTAAATCATGTCCAGGACAACTAAGCATGTAAGCTCGGCTACACAAGGAAGTAACTTATTGTGGCCGATTCAACACGACGTCCTACTCATGTGCCATTAGCTAGCTGAAACACAGCAACTCACTTCTCAGGGGCAGTGTAAAACCCGGACGGCTGCAATTGGTTAGTCTGTGTGTTTGATCTGTTAACTCCTGATTGAGTACGGATACACATCCTGCTTTTTCCTATTGCCTACCCGATACAACGTTTGGAGTCGCAAGCCCAGAGATAAAAGCTTTCCCTTCATCTCCCATCTGCAATTTGGACTGATTGCAGTTGCAGGTCAACACCAGATACCTGGCTCTGTTGGAAAACGTTTTACGAAAGGTACCTAGATTTAGCCGCAATCTCCACTCTTCTCCTGCTGAGAAAAACGGATTAAAATTGCTTCGACACTTACTCGGAAATGAGAGGCAGTGTGATGATTTGAGCCTTAAAATATGTGAATCCATTAAAGAGGCTTTTATTGCTCTAGATCGTACATGTGGTTATCAAATGAATGTGTTTACTGCAAGATACGGTTTCTCCCGCATGTATCAGAAAACAGACGAACCCTTGAAAGATTTCATTGCCTGGATAAGTCGCGCAGTACGAGGGTGTGCTTATCCGTCCATTCCCTCGAAAAATTCGAAGGCTGTCTGCTGACTCAGAAACTAATTTCTGGCATTGTTGACAATCGTATACGTGAGGTGCTGTTGTAGGAAGCGACGTGCACTGTAACGGGGGGTCGAGATGCGAATTAGACAGAATAAACTGAAATTTCACTGCAATGGAAACAGTTGTGTTCGACCAACTCAGTTGAGGTGAAGAAGGGGGAATCATCCAGACAATTACCAGCGGAAAAACTATCTTGCTATCGCTGTGGAAGTGCTTCTCATAAAGCCAACCTTCCTGCTTGTCCTGCACACAGCCTTTATTGCAAATCTGTAGCAAAATAGGGCAATATGTCCGAGGTTGTCGGTCGCAATCCATCGCAATTTTCAACAACAATGCTACACCTGAAGGCCAGGTTACCGATCCAACACTTGAGAACATTTATCCCATCACCGCCAATGTTAACAGTACAAAAAGTCTAACAATATCTGTTATTGAACCAAATTTTCTTTCCGCTGATCTTCGTACGGTGTCCTTCCTTACGGTCAAAGGTCCTGTTCCACTTGTAGTGGAACTGGATTCTGCTTCTCCAGTTACCAATGTATCTTTCAACTTTAATAACATTACCTATCGTGGCATACATTACAGCACACTTCGCCTTCGTTTTGGAGTTAGAGAGAAACACCTTAACCGTACTGGGATTTATTATCGTGCCTATACAGCTGAATTAGATAGCTGCGGAAGTTGCAGCTTACATTTCTTCATACAATAGATGACTCCAACTTAGAAGAAAAGCTATGGTTAGTTTTTCAATTAGCGCCATATTTCGCTGGCATGCTTGTCTCTTCCGTCAACTAGGCCTACTGGCATGAACGTAGTCCTAAGCTTTTTCAGCAGTCCATCGGATGTATTTCACGTGGTGTGCACCGCATTCAGCTGAAAAAGGATGCAGACTCATTTGCCATTGGTCAGCCTAGACCTATTCCGCTAGCGAAACGTCAAGCTTTCTCAGCGTCACTGCAATTAATTCAGGCAAATGTACTGATTGAACTTATCTACTGTTCCGAGTCGGTGCATCCAATGGTAAGATGCACTGTTAAGATATGCAACACTTTGCAAAGACTAAATAAGCAAATTGTTTTCGAGCCATTCCTGTTGTCATTCAACGAGAATATCATTGTACGTTTATTTGGTGGAATCGCTTTTTTCAGGCTAGATTCCTCCATATGCCACTGACCAACGACGCGTAACATCTTACTGCCTTCCTTGCTCCCGAAGTCTTATTTCACTACAATGTATTGTCAGTGGGTTTGAGTTCAACATCAGCTGCCTGATAAAAGTGTATGACTCCCACCTTGGCAGGTATTGAGACGTAGTTTGCACACATAGATTATAGCTGTGTTTCCGGCCGCTCACAAAACTAGCATGATGAAAGTTTACGCAGATCCCTTCAGCTGCACAGTGATCTTGATTTACTTCTGAATGCAAAAGTTGTCCTTTCATGCACCCAAGCATCAAGTTCTGTGGCACATCACATCGCATGACAGCATTCGCCAAAGCAACAAATACACCCGGTCCAGCACAGAAACGCCAACTCACAAGAACTTGGCAGAACTGAAGTCTTTTTGGTAACAAATTTCTACAATCTGCAGGTATTTGGAAAATCTTATGATTCTAGCAGATCCTTTACGACAAGTAACAACGAAAGGAGCGTGCTTCAATTAGAGAAGCGATCGACAAAACGGTTTCAATGAACTGAAAAATGGTTGCAGTTGCTCTCTTAGTTGCCATTTTTGATGAAGTATGGCGCACGTTTGTTCGACTGAAGCGTCTGATGTTGATCACAGCGCCGTTCTGTCACAGCAATAAAACCGAACGTAGAAAGTTATTGCTTCCACAAGCCGAAGGCTCTCAGATTCTGAGCGTCATTATTTGGTTGAGGAGAAAAGAGATCTTATTTGTGTATGGGCTTGTGAAAACTCGCATATTTTCCTTTTCGGTCGGCGTTTTACTCTACCAACTGATCATTGCGCACTTACAGTCCTCCTTAGTGATGGACGTAAATGATCGCGTCTAATGCGCATCGCTCTTTGGTATGATGGACTCTTTAACTACCATTTTTAAATTGTGTACCGGCCCAGGTTGCTAAATCAAATTGCTGATGGATTATCTCGCTCACTCGCTGGGAAGGTGGATGACAGGGCGAGACTTAGAGAGACAGTGTTATTTTCCTGTCGTGGCTCCGACTTAACGGCGTTGAATATCTAGGAATTACATATGGAAAATGCCAATGACCCGTCATTTCATCAACTCAGCGATTATGTGCAACAGCGATTGCTTAATAACAATAAAGTCCACGGGCGTTCATACCGTATTATGCCAGTCGGGTTGAACTGTCAGTGATAGATGGTTGTCTGATGTGTGATTCGGTGTTTATAGCTTCACCTCACTTGATAAACCAAACATCTGCTTGTGCACATGAGACACCCGGGTATGGTTCCGACCAAAACCTGAGCGAAACAACATTTTTTGAGCAACAACTGGCATCTAGCATGCCCGTCTAGCGGGCAAACTTTCTGTGTCAGTTGAAGCCCCAATACAGCCTACTACTTACCCGATGAAGCTGTGGTCTAAGTTCTCTAATGATATTATGGATCTCTTTGCCACTGCTCCTAAGAATAAGGGAACCCACTTCTAACTACATGTTTTTCCAATAAGTGGCCTAAAGTTCACATTTGCGACCAAGTGACTACTTCGGATGTGTTACGCTGGCTTGAACACTTGTTCAGTCTTTTTGGACTACCAGAAGAAAGAGTCACGGAAAATGGAGCACAATTTTGTAGCCACGACTTCGCAGATTTCCTCCAGTGGCATAGCATATAACATCCCAGAACTGCACCTTACAATCCTGTGACCAATGGGATGGTTGAGTGTCTAAACCGGTTTATCATGGAAGCAATACTGGCCATCCAATTAGGAGGATCTGTCTGGAAAGGTGTTGTCTTAACTGCTGTTATTTCGTTACAGAAATTGTGACCACAGGGCTACCGCAAGAACGCCGGTGGAGCTGATGTTAGGAAAGCCCTTGCACACGAAATAAACGCTGCACGTAATGTGGCATCTGCGGGACGCGCAGAAGTTTGAAATCGCTTAGCGCTTTATCAAAACGCCAACCCCAGATCGTTAACTACTATGCAACCTGGAGCATAAGTTCATGTTAGAAAAGGGCCTACGCCTATACGCCACCCAGCTTTATCCGTACCGTTGCCAAATCACAGGGGGATCAGACCTAAGGACCTACCGATTTGATAAGGGCCTAATTACTGACGCACAATGGTTGCACACCGCCCATTGACCAGCCACCCAGTATCAAGAAAATATGTGTGAACACCAAACCGAATAGCCGCTACCATCAAGGCAACATCGCCGGTCCACCAGACCTACAAGGCCTGTCGATCGATACCTGCCCGCGTGACACAGCTCTTATGAACGACGAGTGGTTGTTGTGGCCGATCCATCATGATGTCCCAACTCATCTTGCATTCATCTTTCAGCAAATCTCTTCTCTTTAGTTGTACAAAATCCGAACGGTTAAAATTGATTTT